AGTGCCTGAGCGAACACTCTCTTCAGGCTGTCGAGCACGCGCTCCGCCTCCGCTCACCGCTGCCGCTTGGCGGTGTTGCGCGAGTAGACTACGGGAAGCTGGCGCTGAACAGCCATGCGTATTAAGAAGCTCGCAAATTCGTGCTTTCATGCGAGTTAATTTTAAAATGAAAGCCGGTTCATGTGTATGTGGAGAATGAAAAGTAACCTGAACATAGCAGCGCGCAGGTTGTTTTTTTTTTTCCACGTGGCTCAGATCATGGTGGCAACAAAAGATGCTATATTGTTTTTGTCACATGTATAACTGTCTTTTTATCAATCATCTAGGCTACAACCGCTTAGAAATAAACGGGACTGAGAAAAGGAGGTACATGCAGCATGTTCGCATATTTTTTTCCATGACCACTGCACGTATTCCGTAAGCAGTCTGTCAGGCCACGCTTCCGGTTCGACATTTGCATCCGAGTCTTACAGCATTCGTGCTTTATTTTTTTCTTTCAAACTATTGCAACCTCATCAGTTCCATGCCTCAGTATATAATACTGCTGTGTACCACTTTGCATATCAGACGGAAAGAAATCAAGCTATCTTGTTTTTTCACTTCTCATTAGTGATTAAGAAAAAAAACTCATGGTTTCCCTTACGGATACACCTGAAACAACTGAAAGGCAAGAACCATCTTAGTTTTTTCCCATTCAATGCATTGAATGTTTCTTACTTCTCTCCGGGATATTTCTGTGTTCAATGTGGTTTGGAGACAAAGTTAGGTGACAAAGCTAGGTTTCTGCCCCTCAGCTTGTTACTCACTGCCCTTGTGATCGGCCCATTTCAACCATGAAAAAAATGTAATGTGATACCATCAAGTTATGTGACCTTCCGATACGTAACAAAATTTTATCATCTGTGACCTCATATGATGACGTCTTCACGTAATAATGGTTTCTTGCATTACTCGTGTTGGCGGCGCCGACGCGAGAAGACGCCGGACGCCGATGGTGATCAATTTTTGCTGTCGCCTAAATGCACTGTATACAGCTGTAGTTCCGTCGAATTGTAGCTTGCACTGGTGTTCAAGGGAGCGTGCTTGCAGTAATCAAGCAGAACAATTGGTTTCCTAATAAATCTTCGTACTACATTCTAATGTGTAGCCATCATTTACAACTAGAATATTTTATAGATTATAAGAAGTAGTGGCTCAAGACTGCCCGTCATGTTTGGAAGCATGGCAATTGGTATCAATAAACGGGACTTCGCTGCATCTGAACAGTCAGCAAATGAGTCTATCAGTAGCAACGCTGTCTTGTGATCACTGCTGTGTGCAAGCTAACATTTTGCCCTAAACCTGAATGGGAGCCCATGGGCACCACATGAGTCATCGGCGAAACAAGCGACAATTATCATGTACTGTGTGTTGTTACAAATGTGTTCTTTTAGGGCTGAACAGGGTGCCTCATGCGATAAAAGCATGCAGGTCGACAGCCATTCGGCCTCTACTCTGCTTGCTACCGAATTAAGAGGCCAGAAGGAAGAAAAAAGAAACAAAGCTGAGCAGCCAGATAGTAAAGCTAAATCAATCTGTCTAGGAATACTAAGACGAGCTCAATCAAGCAACTGACAGCATTTCGCATTTATCACGCCTGCCACCTTGGCTTCAAGTTGAGAGTTGGCATTACACTTTAACAGTACCTGTTAAAAACATAAGCCATGATTGCAAAAATAGCACTGCATATGGAGCAGTTTTTGTTAGTTTCACGACGACTTCATTTTTAAGCTATCAAATGGTGAAATCACCTGGCATAGTTCTTCATTTCTTGTCACTTGTTTTCTCTCGGCGGCAACACATGTACTACTCGAAAGCTATGCGAAGGGAACGGATGATCACCTATATCTCTGGAAGTAGTTCAAGTGGCATTTTATGATATTTAGCGCATGATCTCCAGGCTTGCAAGTAATGTGCTATGTCACTAGACAGTAGAAAGCATCAGGGAACATAATGCGCCCAAGCTTTTAGTATTAGCTACTGGCAAAGGCTTGTCTCAAAAATCGACTTTCATTGAGTCAAAAAGGCAACTCTCAGTCAAGCAAATGTCACGGAGACAAAACAATCTTCTGCGTATTACTGGCACGAGCTATATGGTATCGGCCCAGCAGATGACGCAAAAGCGCCTCGATTAAGTAGTCACGAGCGACACATGCCTTTTAAGTGAGCTGGGTGTCCAGAAAAACAAGTGCTTCACGATTCTCGTTTACAAGTTTCTATTTTACCTTAAGCATGCGAATACAGCCAAAAACCGAACCGTATAGCAGCTTCGAATGCAGCCATGGCATTTGTTTGTGCGAGAGATGATGCAGTGGCATGTCTACTCCGATGGCAGTGACTGGCAGCGAAAAGCCGCACTAGCGCCGACGGCTGCTTCTCATTTAAATCCGCTCCTTCAGCCGGGCACTGAAAAAATAGAGGAGGCGCTGGTCAAACCATACCAGTTTTGCAATATGTCATGTGAACGAAACCATGGCAAGAGCAGGAAGACAATTGACATGTTAATCATCACATTCATTACATGCATATCATGATTTTCATGCTATAACTAGCCACTTATGCTCGTCATACAGTCATGTTATGCCATAAAAATTTTGGTGTAGATCCGATCATCGAAACGGCCTAGAGAGCTAAATGTCCTAGGCGGCTAGATAGATAGATAGAAAGATATGCTCAAGTCACTGAAGTTTGCTAAGAAATTCTTCGCATTTAAACACCATCGCGGCCATTCCTGATGGCACAAGCATGTTCACGTAGCTGGTCTATAAAACAGCGGCCAATTTGTCCTACTATGTTCTGCTTACTGCATGAAAAAAGTATCTGATTGATTATATTTTCTGTGCATGGGATGTGATCATATATAGCAAAAATTGACTTAGTGTTGAAGGCACATGCGAATTGAAAGCAGAACTACCGTTTGTCGCATTTACTGCGCCCGAAACTGCGGTCACTGCGATGCAATCAATAGTGCCTACGAGCTCCAAAGGCTAGCGCAGCCGTAGATAAAAGGCAATAAAGTCCTAGAAAAGGCAGTAAGCATTTTGTCGATCCTGTCGATATTCACTCATGACTATGCTGGAGAGGACTGGGGCACTTAGTTTTGAGATGGCCTCAAGTGAAGCTTTGACGCTGCTTTCGGTGCAGCCGGCATCCCTTATTTGTTAGTTTATGTGTGTCCCAGAAAGACATGTGCGAGGTTGTTTTTTTTTTTTTTTTTTTTGACAGAAATAGATGTTTCGTGTGTATGTCTTGGTTTTGGAACCTATTTTGCTAGTTTTTTTTTATTATACAAAATTTTGGGTGATTTGAATATTTTCTTTATGCTGGAGATTCGTACCAATGTTGAATTTCAATGGCAGAGTCTGAGCAGCTGACAGACTCTGCGAGCAAGCCCTTTACCCTGGAGTAGACCGATGCCTCTAAATCCACGATTGGAGCACAATCTGCACTGTTGGAGCAAGCATTAGCAGCAATGTGGAACTGAAAGTCATTGAGTTGTTCAGAATACCTTGCGTATAGTTATTCCATTACACTAGTTCCACTGTAGAATACTGTTGAATTACCACTTGTACGTAGTAGTTTCAGTGTCGCTGTCACTATCCGATGAACTGCTTATGCAGGAACTGCAGTTTTCTGACTCAGAGCTCTCACTATTGAACGGAAAAGGCAATTTTGCATGATTTGCCTAATTGGCCTTGTCGTCCATCATTACTGTCAAAACACCTCACAGCGGCGTTCGCCCGTTTGTGGTAAAAGGAGTACGTCATGCAGGTTTGCGGTCCACTCCATCAATATCTGCCGAGCAACCTTTCCTGCTCCTCAGAGCCTACTCTGACTCTCTCATTGGAACACTTGACTCAAAAAGAGCAGAAAAACTTGCTCTGACTACGCCATAGAATTCCAACATGAGATTCTACAGTAGTTGGGAAACCCAACATGTGTTGTTCATTAATAGACCGCAACATATGCTTACGCTTACAGCACTCTCCATCCTCCTGCCCCCTTTCAGAGATATTTTTTCTGTGAGAAAAAAAGGGGGACGGGCGGGCGAGGTGAATCAGTGCGCTTGCCATCCCCCCACCCCACCCCTTTTTCCTGGGTGCATAATATTTTAACTTAGCAGTTATGTGTACACGAGGCAATTGCCATGCTTCATGTGATCGAAGGAAGAGGAGAAGTTTGTTTTTTTTTTAAATCATGTGTGCCTGTGATGTGAAAATTTCAGATAGTAGTGTTAAGCCCAATATCAAGGTGTACATTGCTCTGAAACAGCACCTAGGATAGGCATAAACAACCAGCTAAGCTGGTTTTTTGCACAGTCACAGCGATTGATTCGTTGCTTTGATTACTCGCTGCAAAAAATATGATCAAGCTTGTCGTTGAAGGTAAAAGGTAAATCTCTTGAAACGCACACCTCTCCGAAAGTTTTAATAATTTTTGCTTTGTCAGGTGTGCAGGTATGTTCACATGGCAAGCATGTGAAAACCAACCAAACCTCGTTAAAGTGTTTGATAACTGACTGCCTGGTGTGACCATGCCTCTTGCAACAACGTTTTATAGACTTGTGGAGAGGAAGCAAGTTATTAATGCAGCTCACTGGTCGCCGGATAAGGGCAATTCATCATTTGTGCTGATTCACTGCTTTGTTTTTGGCTGGAATTTGCAAGAGCAAATTTGTGTGTGTATTTGTGCTACCATAAATGCATGAATGTTGATTGCCCTTCTTTTAGACTACTGGTATGCATTTGAAGTAGGTGCCAACCGAATATCTCACAGCGCCCATATCATTATAGGGCAAGTGCATGTCTTGCTTGTTATCACAAGTTCATCAGTGGCTAAGTGTATGTTCTATGTTCATGTTTTATAGGGAGGTCATTTATTTCTAGTGGTGGTGATGCATTCAGCAGCAGCATGCCATCCCTTTTATCATGAGCGACTTCGTTTGGACGTTTTGCTTTCAGAACCTCTCACCATCCAAGCGGGTTCGCAAAGCCCTCCACGAGACCTGGTCCACTCCCGGTGATATTGCTGTACCTGGGCTCACCTCCACAGGGTTTGCACCGCTGGAACAGGAGGTGTTCATCCTCCCTGAGACACCTGTGAGTTCTTTCCTCGCCAAAAAAACAAATGGCTGTTTACTTTTCTCTCCTCAGTCTTCTCTTTTTCTTCTGGGTACTTGAAATTTGATATCAGTATGAATCAGTGACAGCTTTTCTTGCTGTTGCTAATTGTTAAGTGTGCTGAAGCAAATGTTTTAGCATGCTGGCAAGAACTAATTGGGCTACTTGGTACGCTACATTTCTCCAATAGTCTCTCAGTCTCTCTGTAGTAGGCTCTTAGTGGTCTCTCTGACTATACTTCACAATCTCTCTGAAGTCTTTTTGTCTCGTAAAACCATGTATTATAGACAATTTTCGGTGGCCAAGATATGCAATACGTTATACGGAGTATAGCATTGGTTTAAAGGAACCCATATGGCAGAAAGCCTATCAGTGGCAGTATCTGTAGGCAAAAAAATTTGAATGGATGCAAAAAAACGAAAAATGGTTTTTGAGCCAGAATTGAACTTGGGCATTGTGCGTGTGTGTGTTTTTACCACAGGGCCATGCCAGGGCTTGAGACTGCTTTCAGTGGTGGTTCAACTATGCCAGTTACTGCATTTTGCAACAATTTTACCTGTCTGTGCGTCATTGCGGCCATTGCATGTGCCGAAGTTCATATTTCTCCTTCTTGAACATCAGTGAAGCATTTATGTCCCAGAATATTTTTGGTTTGGCACCAGATTTATGTCCCAGAATATTTTTGGTTTGGCACCAGACAGACAACTTTTTTGTACTGCCGTGTAAATTACTCTTCCTTTGCCCTGATGCACTCGTTATAACTGGCCTAACTGAAATATCTGTGTGTGATCTCCGGTATTGACGTACGCTTCAGCATTTTGGGTATAGCCCAGAAACTCATCGCTGTTATTGAGGAAGTGTTTGTAATACATAGACAAGTGACAAGTGAGCCCCATGCTATATACAACCTCTTGGCACATAGCAAATGTTCTGGAGCCTTATGTGCCAAAGGCATGAGGCATATTTTTGCAAATTAAGGTTCCGACATGCAATTGTCTGATGTTTTACAAAATAAAGTGTTCCTTGTTGATTGCACTGCATGGAGTTCTTCGGCATGCCTATGGTTCAGCAAAGCCTAATGTGCAAGCACACGTCGGGCACTTCAGTGCTGCCCGACACTCGTGCCGTAAGTGTGCATCATAGTGCTCACATCGTTGTGCTCGCTATGCATCGCGATATAATGCGAATGGGATGGCAAACCAACGTGCATAGAAATTGAGCCATGCCAACATCAACATGCTGCAGTGATAATATATGGTAGTGCAGACAAAGGACACGGACAAGAGAAGGCACATTCAAGACAACACAGCGCTGCGGTTGTTGAAAGTTAGTGCTGTGTTGTCTTGAATGTGCCTTTTCTTCTCCGTGTGCTTTGTCTACGCTACTATATATTATCATGCTACCGTACCAACAAGCCCAAATCGCCACCCTCACGCTGCAGTGAGCCACGATCACCGTCGATCTCAGCTTAAAAGCTTGCTTCCAAGTGATTGCCACCCATGCACGTGTTACAAATAATACTTGCGAGCATGCCTGTGAAGGCTTCTGGCGCACAGTCGGTGAAATGGCAAACCTGGAGTGCCGTTACAGCACGAGTTTCTTCCTGTGCACAGACTACGAAAATGCGGATGCGGCCAGCGGTGGTTTTGTCGTGATATCCTATGTGCAATAAAAAAACTGTTTGTGTCAATAATGAAGTGTAAATTAATGAGCAACAAACAGCATGCAATCGAACAGTTATCAGTCAGTTTGAGATTTTGATTACTGGAGGGGGGGGGGGGGGGTGAGTGTCCTTGAAAGGCCAGTAAACAGGCTCCGACTTTTGTTTTTTTTTTTTTGCGCCCTCCAAACAAGCTCGCCAATTCATAGTTTTGAAAATGGCAGTAAATGCTCAACCAAAAGTTTTTGAAAGTGAAAAGAATGCCACGCAGTGCTCACATTTCTAAATATTATCAGGTAGGATGAAACATTATTTATAGTGAGCTGTGCCAATTATTGAATGCTATGTATGCAGACAATTGAAACAGTACACTTTTGTTTGTAACGAGATCTCTTATTCTTTCTCTAATAAATTGTTATTTCTAGTTACGTTCCCCCCGCCCTTTTTAAAGCGGCCTTATTACACCTGCCATTCGCAGAAACCTTATGTTTGCGCTTGCCTTGGTCACTGGTGCCTCACTTAGCAAACATCTTTTGCATTAAAGTGTAGTCAATGTCTGACACCCTTTCATGCTTAGACGTTGATAAATGGCTGCTCTCTGAATGCTGGCCTTATCTCCATGTTTATATTCCAGCATCATTTTCAATATGCAGACTAATAGAATGTTTACTGAAAATTTTGACAAGATTTGCTCTAAGTGAAACTAAATTTCTTCTGTCTGCTCCAAAACACAATTCCTCCTGCTATAAATCTGCTCCAAAACAGACTTTTTTATGCTTCAAAAATTGCTGCAAGTTCTAAACTGAACAATTAAAACTTATCTATGTGGCAAAGATCTGCTTTTTAAAATGATTTCTTTTATCTTTTCATCATGAGAGCTTGAGAATCGTGGTTATTTTGAGCATGTGACTTGAGGTAACGCCTGATGTCAAATGCAATGCCAAGCAGCCAGGTGACAACTTCCCAGGTACTCTGGACATCGAGCTCTTTGTAGCATTAACAGTAGCCCCCTTAAGCTCTTTAAAAGCAATTTAAACCTACTTCGAGTCTGATTACAACCTTGACTTTTTTCATGAAATTAGAGAAGCTAAACTTGTGAAAGCAAGTAAAAAACAAAAAAGGAAAAAACAAAAAAAGAAAGTATGTAATTCTGGAAGGAACTTGCGTTTTGCTAGCAGCCTCTCCCCTTAGATGCAAGTTTCAGTAATTTCTTTAAAATTACCGATATTTTGTTTTCACCTGTTTTGATAAAGTTAGTACCTCTACTATTTTGAAAAAAAAAATCTATGTCGAGACTCAGCTAGAAATGCTTTAAAATTGCATTTGAATAGCACAAGGTGGCTTTTGAAACCTCGAAAGTGTGCATTCTCGAGCACCTTGAGGGGAATGGCTGAGCCTCACTCTTCAAATAATGATGGTCTCCCGTGCTGCTGTAGCACAAGAAATAATAAAAAGAAGCAAGCTTCTGTTGCATTTTTCGAATGCCGCGACTGGCTTTTAAATCACATGGTATGGATCAGGGACTGCCATTGGTCGCTGGCTGCCTGTATGTGCTGTGAAGCGTACTTGCAGGGTCCATGTCTCAACAAGCAGCAAAGCTGAACAACGCTTTTCTTGTGTATTTATCTCCATTGTGGATAAAGAAAGACGTAGTTTGTGCGATAGTTATGCTGTCAACGTGAAAGCTATTGTGGCAGCGCGCTCTTTAGGGATGAGCTACAAGCAGCTGGTCTGATTTGCGGCAATTCTTTGCTTGCAAAAGCCAGTGCATCATAAGTCATTCACAGCCATGAGCGGGAAAGTCTGTGATACGGCAATGGATGCCATCTGCGCCAATCTTGTGAGGTCAAGGCAGCTCCCAGTGAGAGAAGTTGGTAAGGACGACATTGCTGTTATGTACAACGGTACGTGGCACAAACGCGGCCACAACAGCCACATTGGCATTGTTCTGTCCCTCGACACTGGACTTTGTTTAGATTTCGAAGTCCTGTCGAACTTCTCCCTAGCTTGCAGTTGGCATAAGCAGTGATTGCACTCTTGCTCCAAAGTAAGCTAAGTCAAATTTACGGCCCCATCTTGACAATATCGACAGAAATTGCGCCAAAGTCTGATTTGGAAGCATCTATCATCAACAATATCTACGCCGGCTCGTCAAAACGTGTACTTTTTCTTGGGGCCACCAAACTCACAATCGCGTACGTAGAGTCATTCCGCTGAATAAGCAGCTGGCGTACGTGCGTTCTAGACAATTAGCGATATGTTTGGTGCTGACACAACTTTTGTTGAGCAAGTTCGCTTATCAGGGAAACGCGCTCTACACAGGGGCTCGTGACGTCTAGTTCAATCGGTCGCGCGAAACTGCATTGGCGATTCATCAGTAGACGTCATTCATTCCAGAAACGCTGCTGATAGCTCGTTTGAAAAGTTACGAGTCACGTAACTCAAGCGATGTTTACTAATAACTTCACGCATGCTGCAAGAATGTCTGTCACGTCTACTTCTGGACATCGCTATCTAATTGTCTGTGCTTTGCGTCCACAGAAAAACACGTGAACGGTGGGAGCGTGTTGACACTTTTCCTCCAATATAGTAAACTCTCAGTAAACGGAAATCTGTTAAATAGAACTACTGCTTAAACAGAACTATTGCCCCTGCAATGCTTGGTTTCGGGCTTGTATTCTGCACCCATGTTCACCTCTCAGTAAACGGAACCCCTGTTAAATGGAACATATTCTCCCAGTCCCTTTATGCTTCATTTACTGAGAGTCTACTGTATAGTTTATTTCTGGAGATTCATTCAGAAGAGCTTTTCCGTTATGCCTTCCACCAGCGCATTTGCATTTGTAGTCGCTATTGCGGTAAAAGCCCCCAAAATACTCTGCCCTTTCGAACTCTAGATTGCCAGAGTCCGAATACACAATTTTCGCGTGCTTTCGTTTAAAATGTAATTTCAATAATGAAAGCATGCCTTCTGGTCGGAGCAGCCGCAATTCAGTTTTAATACATGCAGCTTTCAGTAGTGGGGCCATCGCTGGCAGCTTTTGTCGGAAGGCCCACTGCTAAACGGCTACACGATGTTACATGTAGGCCTCTCGCTTCTAGGATCAGAAGTTGGCGGTTAAAAAAAAAAATTGAACATCATACATCGCATTTATTGCTTTTTTTTAAGGGGTTAGGGTGGGAGAGATAGCGTCGCTCGAACGGCGCAGTCACTGGTGCAGGCTATATTTCGAGGCATAAGGAGACTGCTCATGAACGTTTTGTGCTACTGACCTCTGCTTTGCATTTAGATAACTGACAGCACAAAAACCGCTTTGGCAACTGGAGTGGTCATTGTTCCTTTAGTCAGCGTTCCGATGAGTTATGCGACATCGTCGGGTCCAAACCATACAATTTATCAGTTTTACTTAAGCTCTTACCAATGAATGCAACACCAACAAATTGTGTTGTTATCAGATTGTGTTGTTATAGCAAATAAAAAGACTTGACGTCATCCGCGAGGAGCACTAGCGGCGGAATTGCCATTTCGAAGGTCCGTGCACGCGCAGTGTTCGATATGGATACAGGGACTTTGATGACTAGACCTTTGGAACACCTCTTGCACGCCGACGCATGTACAGATAGGATCATACTTGTCTAGAGTGCCCAGCCAGTTGCTCCAGCTACCTTTTTTTTTTTTTCTTCAAAAATATGTAAAGAGCGACGCCCTAATAATACCAAACATGGTCATACTGCGCGTTAAGTCCTTGTGCTATAATATAAGGATGAACGGAAGCTTGTAGCTATTGTGAGATAGGAGTCGCAGCCAACAACATTGTCGGCAAGCACGCGCTCCGCTGGTCTAGATAAGTGTGATTTTATGAACGGCGAACGGTGCGTATCAATGGACCTACAAAATGGCGCATCTATGGTGTGGTTGCCTTGCGATCAAGGCTCAGTGCACACTCCTATATGGCCATTCCATAAAGTGTAGCACTTTCGTCCAGTCAGTTTGCGTTGAGAGTAAAAGGTAGAATGGTATACGAGCCATCTTTAATGCCTGCAGAAATAGCGAGTGCGCCAGCAATCACACCCCTAATGTCAAAATTTATATATATAAACCCCCCCCCCCCCCCCACCTCCTTCCTTGCGGTCCTAGTTCCTTCTTGCTCCTTGAAGACGGGCAGCGCGTTCCTCTTTGTTTGAGTAACAATGGATAGCAGGCCTGACAAGTGGGGTGATGTTATTGCATCCATCCTCCATGCAGAGGAGATAGGTCAGCCAGTGGTGCAGGGGGGGCGGGGGAACACATCGGGAATGCCTTTTCTCCACGAAAGCGAAATTTGCTTCGCTATGGCTTATATGTATAGCACGAATTAAGGTGGCCCCCTCCAAAACAAGTTAAATATTTCTGCCTACGCCCCTGGTGATGGCAAAAACCAGTCAAGAATGTACATATAATTGCTACCGCAATAAAAACAAAATGGCTCTAGTTATCGAGTTGTTTTAGGTGAATGCCTAAGTTACCCCTTCAGTTTTTTTTTTTTCCACAGATTTTTACAGGACATTATAGGGGATTATTGGTGTATAGACAGAATGCCCTAGCCGCAGGAAACGCCCCTCGCCGTGGTGGTTTAGTGGCCAAGGTACTCGGTTAGTGACCCGCTGGTCGCAGCGTCGAATCCCGGCTGCGGTGACTGCATTTTTGAAGGAGGCGGAAATGCTGTAGGTCCGTGTGCTCACATTTGGGTGCACGTTAAAGAATTCCAGGTGGTCGAAATTTCCAGAGCCCTTCACTACGGCATTTCTCGTAATCATATGGTGGTTTTGAGACGTTGAATCCCACATATCAATTATCAATGCCTTCTCTGGGAATCTAGTCAGTTATTCCTTGTAAGAACATGTTCTACTTCATATTGCTACCCGCATATTGTGGGTCGACGGCAAGGGACAATGCCACCCACACATAGTGGGTCGACGGCAAGGGACAATGCCACCCACATGCAGTGGGTCGACAGCAAGAGTGGCTCTCAATCTGGAGGAAAAAAGAAGATTGCGTGCTTCTAGTCTGCTCGAGAGCCAGCCACGACTGAAGTGTCGTCCTGGAGCTAGCTACTCAGTGGTTTAATAAACTTTCTAGTACTTGTGATTCATCGTGACAAACTGGTGGAGGTGCGGGGTAGTCTCACAAATGCTGCAGGACCCCCCCCCCCCCCCCCCCCCCTGGTAGCCGTGAAATGAGTCAACACTCCCGCGCATCGGACCAGCCTCCGAATCAGGGGATTGCCTCCTGAAGTCCACGATACTGCTCCCACCACGTCGACGAATATGACCAGTGCTTTAGTGCTAACCTTGCCAACCGGCACGGGAAGCAAGACATCGAACCGCTATACGTTGGAAAGCCCACGGGCACCGGCAACGTTTCATGGCACGGAGCGCGAGAACGTTAAGGACTGGTTGGCGGACTTCGAGCGCGTAGCCATCTTGAATCAGTAGGACGACGCGGCGAAACTGGGTCTGTCTGTTTCTATCTCAGAGACTGGGCACGTACGTGGTATCAAAATCGAGAGGAGCTGCTGACGTAGCTCGAATTCTCTCGTAGACTTTTGCAGACCTATGCCAGCGCTGATGGCCAAGAACGAGCTGAATGAGCTATTCTGGCCCGTGTTCAGTTGCCAAACGAAACTGTGACCCCGTACGTCGAAGACATGACGCGCATCTTCTAATGGGTTGATTCAAGAATGAAAGAGGAAAAGAAGTTGCGTCACTTGATGCACAGTGTTAAGGACCAGCTTTTTGCCGGTCTCGTGCGAAGCTCTCCGAAGACAGTCGCGAAGTTCTTGTCTGAGGCTGTCACAATGGAAGAAATGCTGCAGAAGCGATCCAACCAATGCGACAGGCAAGTTAGTGACATTTTCACCGCCACTGGAACCAGCAATGACTCCCTACGTGAACTCATCCGTAATATAGTATGTGAAGAGTTGCAAAAGGCTGGTGTAACACCTCACCGTCCTCATCGCCGTCATTGTTTGTTCATTCTGTTCCTGCTGTTACTGCCTACGCTCTACATGCCCGGCCCATGTTTATTCATTTCTTCTTGATTTTAATTATGATAACCTTAACCCCCGTTTGTTTCCTGAACCATTCTGCTCTCTTGTCTCTTAATGTTACACCTACCATTTTCCTTTCCATTGCTCGCTGTATCACTGCACATGACGAGATATAAGGAAGTAAATCAAGTCCCCTTTTGATATTCTAAGCATCATTTTAATGACGTGCAGAGCAAGAGCCTGCTGGGTGGCGACTCGTCGGTGCTCTTCTCGCCCCCGTCCATCATCCGGGAGGCCCTGGCCGACGTGCCCCTTCCAAACCCACACTCTTTGTCTACTCGGCCCAAGGTGAGGCAGCCAGCAGCAGCCTGGATGGGTTACTAGCGGGGAGGGTGCTTCCAGTGAGCTGTTCTCTGTTGTGTGCTACAGCCCAAGCCGGTCCAGCACGATCTGCTCACCTTTCGCATCCAGCACACGGAAAGCACGCCTTCGTCTCGGAGGCTCCGCCAGGTAGCACTTGCTGCACTGCATGCTGCCTGCTCCCTGGTTACATGCACTGCACCCATGCACCAATCCAATGTTATGATCCAGTTGTGTTTTTTATTGTTTTTTTTAGTGGTAGCATAAACATGATATATCGACTGTTTAACGGATTATGAAAAGGTTTTTAGCGGCACCGTGGGCAAGAAATTGTCGTACAGACTGTTAGCTGCTGTGTGTAGCGTTGCCAGTACACGTGCCGTGCTTAGATGAAATAAGCCTTCTTGCTACCTACCCTTGAAGCACAATGCAAAAATGTTGGTGCTCGTTTTGCTTCATTGGGACATATTTGATTTATTGAAGAGGTATGAAATGAATATTTTATGTTTAAGAAATGTTCTTAAAAAGTATCGCCAAAGCTTTCATGTCTCATGTACTGTGTATATTGACTGAAAACTATTTCTTGAACTGTGAGTCTCAACGAGCTCTAGTATTTTCACCTAGGCTCGGCAATGCTCTATACTATGCGCATTCACACTTGCCTCACAGAAGCAAACAAAAGTACAACTGTCTTATCCCTCGCAAGAACATGTTGTTCAGATGTTGGAAGCTTTAAAAGTATCTCTCTTCGGGAACCTGAGTATGTGTCGGGAGGGCAAAACCCACATCATTTATGACTTTACATGAAACAGGAGTCCTTGCCTAGTGTGGTGCCTGTCAGCGCTTTGAAAACACCAACTGAAAAAGTACTCTTTCTGAAGCGAAATAAAATTTTATCTACAATTGACAACTTCAGGTTGATGGGGTCACCAAAAAGCCCACACAATTGTCTGATATGTTCAACTGTTCATAAAATAAGAATAGTATTTCAAAAGTTGCCGAAACAAAGCTTGCCGATGGGGGTGTGCAAATATTCGAAATTTCAAAACTTTTTGAGCAGGGTTTGTAAGTTCATTTGATTTGCACTAGAATTTTACTATTGAAATTATTCAAATTTACAGAAAATGAATAACTGTTAATAGTGATGAACAATAAATTTAGCAATAAAAAATTGGTCTTGAGTTTTGAGGCAGTTACATTGCTCGCTGCTTCTTTGGTGCTGAAAGTCGTCACTGCGCGAAAAACTTTGTCAGGCGGTCGACCGCAGATGCCTAAAATGCCCATTAACGGTTCCAAGAAGCCAGCAAGCAGTGCGATTTGCTGCTTGCGACAAAGCCCATTGCGGCTTCTTCGCTTTTGCACATCTGCTAGCACAATGTTCTTGTGAGCAAAGTTCGGATTCGTGAGGATTCGTCTCGCCAATTGGCGCTGTGAGCAGAGTTGGACCTAGCTACGGCTTCTAACAAACAGTAAGCTCAGTTGTAGTATCCATAGCCTCAGGCCCAGTGTTTCGAAGTACATCATGCTTGATCGCGAGTACAATGAGTCGTCCCATGATGGACTTTTTTCACAAGGCCCGAAGTACTGATAACACTCTAACTGAAGTTTCTGTAAATTTAAGGGCTTGTTTTCTTTGTTACACATAATAAAAACTAACGGACACCAGGGAAAGTATAGGGGATGTTAGTTCTCATTTGATAAACTGAAGTTCTTGCGAGTCACCTGCAGACGCGCATCTGCAGTGTTCACAATGACTGTAATCCTACATAATCTGCACTAAGTAATCCGCTTGCAGCTAAAGCTTAATTAAGCTCTAAGTGATCATCAACTCAAGAACACAGAACAAGTGCAAACACATCACAAAGTAGCGCGATTTTTTTTCCTATTCTTAGACCACACCACCTTCTCAGCAGATATATTTTCTCAAAGTAAACATGGCACCTATGACATAGTAGACCAGTGTGCGGCCGCAAGCGCACTGTTTAGTTCCTCAAGAAAAATACACTTGTGTTTTGGCACTAAAATGTACAGTGAAACTTCGATTATACGTCCCTTTGTTTTGCAACGGCCCATATTTTTGACTGATCGGTTTGGCCGTGGCAATGTGCCCATGAAAGTAATTAGGCTGGTGTGAATATTTGAAAGAATACTGCTGTATTTAAATTTGTTATTCTGGGTTACGTGTTCTAATTACAGTAAATTTTAAAACATAACATGTTTTCAATAAAACTTCATTTGGGCCTAGCCATAGAGTTTCATACAATAATACCTAGAGGGAAATCTGGTGCTAGTGTCTGTGCAGGCTCCTTCAGCAACGCTTGTACCCCCATGGGTAGTATGAGAAGGCTTGGGATCCGCTTCGGATGGATTACATTCTTGAGATTCGCGACGCTTATTTTCCAAGTGTAAAACAAAGCAATATGAACTTGTATTTAATTGAAGCTTGCTTCATTTATTTTTGTGCAAACTTTATTGTAAAAAGTTTGTGTGATGAGGCAGCAAAAGTGAAACCTGGGCAAATTCAGCATCAGGGTATGCATCGCTCTGCCATTGCGTTCTAAATTTGGCATCAAGATTTAATGAATTATTTTTTAACGCTTTAAAACAAATATGCTTGCTTTTTCTCTCGAGAGTACGAATTATGTTTTTATGGAAATAACAGTACAGTAATACTTATCTTTTCGTATTCTGCGATGCTAGGTGCGTCTGTCCAAGAGGTCGGCCTCCAAGAAACCTCTGGTTTCTTGTGAAGTCTAGTCAGCGAAGCGTGATGGTGCGTCTACTTAGATTCGTCGTTGTTTTGCAGTCGATTTAAAACGAGTTTAGGCAAGACGCACTCCTGAAAAAAAAACATAAACTTGATGTAATATCCTGCACTGGCATGAGACGCTACATCTAATCTCAGCGGTAAATGGACGTTGCTTCATTTAAACTGTCAAATACGACTCGTGAAGCTTCAAGGTTGCAGCAAACTTCAAGCCTAGTGGTCTTCAGCCTCCTTGAACAACAAAGGCGCTGCTTCAGTGTTTTTCACCGCAGCCAACCAACCTTGCTGCGTGAAGAATGAAACTAAAACCATAGAAAAAAGTCTGTTGACAGTTTGCTAGCTAACCCCATCCAATCCGAAGCCTATACTTCCCATAATTCTTATGAAGGTGCACGATCACAGCGCCAGATTCCTCTCTAGGTATTAATTGTATGAAACTCTATGGGCCTAGCTAGTACAAACCTCTGAATTAAAATTATGAGCGCTCATATGTTTAATTTCTTTTCTGTGTGGGGTGTGCTTTGTGTTCGTGCTGTTAAACTCACCAGTGTGAGCACACATTCAATAAGTTTACCTAGAAAGTGGTGCATTATGCTACAGAGAAGAGTAGTAGGTACAAGTAATGAAAGTATGCAAGGCTGGGGCTTTCTTAACATGGGGCTTTTCATCAATGCCCATTTAATTAAATCAGTGGTCTTGTGCATATTGTTTTACCATAAGCACTGCATGAAACACACTACTGTGCATCAAACTCTTTCAGGGCATGTTTGTCTTCATTGCACTGCTGCCACACTCATGCAAGAGGGTGTTAAAACCATGAGCTCTGATTGGGTTTATTTAAGCGTGATTGTTGTCAGGTGGGACATGCGGTTTCACTTATGCAGTCATTATGTGAGAGTGGCTCTTAGCGTTCTGTTGCACCGAGAGGAGTGTAGCCACTGGCATACGCCAGCATGCGTGGCTCCTTGGTGCTTAACTCTTTCGTTACCGTGGGAAAATGTGCCACTTTTTGTGGAACAAAGATTGCTGAACAAGCCTTGCTGCGTAAACTTTCTTCCTGTGGTCAGCAAGACCACCAGAAGAGTGCCTTAGAGCCATGGCTGGCAAAAAAAAAAAAGTGCGTGGAAGAGGAGGCGGTAACCCGTGCCTTTTTGCCACGCCAGTTGGACAAGTTCAGTGCCCTGGTGTGCGGAAAGACGCGGGACCAGTTGGAGCTGACGCAGCAGGCCCGCCAGTGGATGATGAGCAGCCTCAAGCCACGCTCACTGAACCTCTGAACGCGTCGTGCACAATCCCTTCCTCAGCGGTACGTGCACCACTGCATGTTGTGGCACTTTGCATGGCACCACACTGCATGCCTTGTGTGCCGCACCTCTGGCAAAAAAAATGGTCCGTCTTCACTTTTGCACTCGCAGAAAATTTATTGTGATGTGTGTACAAAGTGCAATACATAGAGAAGTTTCGTGATGCCTTGGTTTGGGTACCCTGAAGTCAGTCAATGTAGAAATTCGGACTGGCCATTTCTCAGGTCTTCCAGCTTACTGCAAAGACATGGAAAAAAAAGATCAAGGCGTGCGAACCGTTCCTCTCTATAACAATTTTTCTTGCGGAGAAGAAGTGATGCTCCACGCATTTATCAACACTGGCAACTGGAAAGAATGTTTGCAGCAAACACAAGGCATTTTCACTGAACATGCACGTGACGTTCATTTTTCGGTTAGACGAGAATTTATTTGAAAGCGTGTTGCCAAAAGGCCACCACACCGGTGACCATGGTACGCATGGGAACTTTCGGGCAACAATTACACTGAGTTGTACCCTATGCCTTTCATTCATGCGGCTGGCAGTGGGTCATTACAGCTCTTGATACTATGACTCACATTCACTAGTCACAGCATTAATGGTTGAGGTGATCAGCTCAGAATGTTTGGAAGGTCACCTCCGAAATTAACTTCATTGGCCTAATGTAAAAAAAAAAATTCAGTTTTTACAAATTTCAGAACACTGAATATTTCAGAATGTAATATATCAAAGTTCATTGTGTATGTATATTCAAACACATCAAAACAACTCACTTTAATCGTTAAAGAATTTATTCTGTGAATAGCAATTTCAGGTGTGAATTTATCAAAATATTTTTATATTTTAATGTTAAATTACAGAAATGAGTTTCCTGAAAAATATAGCCAAGAAGAATGTAGTGCACAGCTTGTGTACTCCCACATATTATTCCTAGGAAGGGGAAAAAAAATAAAATGCTGCTCAATACAGCTGTTACGGGCACACATAGAATGCATGTGCCCTCCTGCTCATCTCTAGCAGTAACTTAATGCCTCGTACCAGCGCACTATCGCTGCATGAAAACAAAACTGCGACGTGGATGATGCAACTGCCGCATCAGCATGAAACTCTGTAATTTGATAATTATTCATTTTTAGGGCAATGCTAACAAATTTGATATCACCAGTTGATGTTTCAGTGACAAGATCTTGGAAAAGACAAGTTTTGGGAAACAAGTTCGAAAGTTGCCAGCTAGTTTCAGTCGAGCAGGAAACAGAAGTGGCATTGCCATTGCCAACCGCTAAACATCGGAGAAGGAGATGCAGTATGGTGTACTGGAATGAGGCAGTGTGGCGTCAAGAGCATGGCTCTTTTTGCAATGACAGCCAGCAGTGCCGTAACACACTGCGCTTTGCCGTCATCTGTTTCTCTTGATGCGTCAGCGAAAGTCTGTGTATTGAATATTCGGTATTTGCAAAATCTTGATGCATAGCATTTTTTGCAGACCCACAGGATTTAAGTAGTATTTACACTTACATAAACTATATCCATCACCGTGAGTACTTTGCAGAGAATTTATAGTTACGTTCCTAGACTTTGGCATCTCTTTGATGAGTAAAATGTATATAGAAGTGGAACAGTATTCATCACTGAGCGTTATTATTTTTTAAACATTGTGGCTATTACTCACCTAGCTCATGCAGGTAAGTGGTGGTTGTAGAACTCACCCGACGATAACGTTAACTTTCAGCACCTCCTCGTTTTTTCGTTGCATGACTTCAAGTTAGTATGATAGGTAGACAGTGGTACATATAAATCAAATGAATAGTGATGTACTTTTTTGTGCTTTTTAAAATCAAAACAATAATTGTGGGATTTCAGACTACGCAGAGGCAGCATTATTTATCTTGTTAATGCATCCATATGTGTTGAATGTGTTTTAACATTGCAGATACTTTTAATTTCAATTGTGTGATGGAACTAGTTTACTCAAAAACTGCAGAAAGGTCCTCAATGCAAATTTAAATCACGCTAGCTGGGCGCACCGTTCGATCGCAGTGCCCTGCTGGTGGCGTCATCGCAAAAGCGACCATCACTCTCCCATTGGTTCGCTGTGAAGATGGCACACTGCCCCTATGTAGTACACCATAGATGTAGTGTCATCGCCTTTACAAAACAGTGGTGGAGTCTATTTCCTATGGAGGTTTTGCGGGCCATACGCATGTTTATTTCGTGTTTCACTATGGGCAAAAGCAACGCTGGGCATTATTCCTCTAGTGGACAGTCTTGAAGGACTGGGAAACGAACACCGACAGTCCCAAATTGCTTCATCCATTAAAAGGCTCCCTCTGGAAAACTCGGTGGAAAGGGACAGAGATTGCCCTTTTTTTCTACAGAGCACACACAATGAGCTGCATGTTTTTGCCACCTTTGACTATTGTTTCTTTTGCTCTCCTTGTGAAATCTCATTTTTTTTTGTCTCTGAAATAAATTCTTCTGACAAATTTACGGAAAAATTGTTGAACAATTTTGGACTGAACCAAACATGACAAAAACCTATTGTGTTGTTACATACGTATACTACTTTATGCGTGAATAACATCAAGCAAAATCTTAAAAAAGAAAGGGCGCTTATGTTACCTTCAATAAATAAAAATTATTGTCAAGAGTCCGACGGAATCCCATCTGGTCGGGGACAAACATAGTACAGGATGAAGGAGTGGCCATATGCCTTGCGAAGGTTTCTATAGTCAAGAGTCCGATGGAATCCCGCCTGGTCGGGGACAAGCATAGTGCATAGGCTCTCGTTTCGACACGAAAGCTCAGAGGCCGTCTCACAGATGTCAAAGATAAGTTGGACAGACATGACTTTCCCGGTCTAGTGTATGAAATTCCTTGCAAAGGCTGTGAATATGGATACATTGGCAAAACGGGCAATTATAAGAAAAGGCTCCGGGAACATTTTAACGACGTCAAGAACAAGAAAGTAGCTTCTAATGCCCTCGGAGAACATGTTGCGTCTACTGGGCACGCTATCGACTGGGATAAAGCCTCCATCATTGCCACGGAAAGTTGTTACCACGATTGCACATGGAATCTCTGACCATTCAAACTACTGCACATACGTCGAACAGAAATATTTGGACACTCGCCCCTGTGTATGCGCGATGTCTGCAACACGTGATGAAACGTGCATAAGAATAGCACACTGCGCCATTTGCAGTCACTATGAACAAGGCTCCCGCGTGGGGAGCCGAAACGTCTTTTTAATGTTTGTGTATTTCACTTTGGTCGGCGTTTTTGTTACTTGCACTAAATAAAAATTATGCATTGTGTATTATGCATTAGCTCACAGACATACAAAAATAAGCATACTATACCATTTTTCTGGCAAAAAATGTTCTTGCTCGAACTCGATAAACATTTCAGTGTGTGATAGTCTTTGAAGCATGGCTCCACATAGAGTGGTTTGTTGTACCCAACACACTGGTGGCACCTTTTTTTTTATATTTCTGTCGCTGAGTGGTGTTGGCACAAATGTACATACCTGCCTACTCTCATGAATTTCGACCTAGTCTCCTGATTGTACATATGCTATCTAAAATCTCCCGAAAAGTGACCACCACAACAAAGACGGTGTTTTTTTTTTTTTTTTATCATGCGTGTACGTCAGCTTTTTCTGCTGCAACAGTTGCGGTGCTGCGGTGGAGCACACGCCACTAAACTTGTAGTTAATTGTAATCATACCGAGTACTGCTAAGTACACTCAAGGCACTATAGTACCATGCATCTTGGTGTAGGCAAGGGAAAAGATACTTTTTTATCTGTCTGTCTTGGCCCCTGCATTTCGCACACTAGGCTTACGCCACCTGCCTAGGCGTCAGTTGTTTGTTCTATGGTTGAGTCAAAAGCAAAGAAGTTCTTGCAAGTGTCTCTGGGCTTTTACACTGCTGAGCTTCTGTGCTTTGTGGACAAGTACAGATTCTGTACTATGTGTGCTTGTAATGTAAGCATTTCACACGGTGGCAAAGCCAAAATGAAGATGCACATCGCTTCACACAAGCATAATAACTATGTTCAGCCTGGGGAAAGGTAGGGCAACATAGGGAGTTTTTTCCAAAAAAAGCTGTGGAGACAGTGCGATTTGCGTAGAATGCCTATTCAAGGGATTGCTTGAGAAACACAACTTCTTGTTGCTAAGCGTTTGTGATCTTGCAGGACAAGTGTTTCAGAAAATGTTCTCAAAGTGCGAGGACGCGAAGTGGTACACGTGCAGATGCACGAGAACAACTGCCATCGTTTGGAAAATGGCTGAAGATGTCCAAAATGTAGGCTCTGAAACGTCCTGCTTTCGCAATTGCATTAGATGGTAGGAATGGGTCACAAATGTGTCAGTCACTGTAATTTTCTATATATAACCCTCCTATTTTCATGTTCCTAGGTTGGAAGGTATGGATGTAGCATCTTTGTTTTCTATTTGCTTTAGCATTGGTGAGTGCCAACTTCTCTGTCAGCAGCCGACATGCACTTCCATAGGCTAAACTGATTGCGTGAGTTGGCGCACTGAAGGAAACTGCATGGTTGTGTGCTCTTTCAAAACGAGTGAAAAAGCTATAATAATCCTTCGTCTTACCATCAACTTGATGGAGTTAATTTTTTGTGTCCTGAAAGCAGAAAATGCAACCATGGCTGCATTGTTTGCGTAATTTAATACCGCGCGTGGGGAGCGATAAACGAGACAGTCACAAGCAGGACAGCGTTGGGGAGCGAGAAGTGAAACAAGGCTCTTGAATACGCAAGCCAGAACATTCCTGTGGAAAGAAGAAGAAAAGAAAACTGCAGAGAGATATCGGCGCATGAAAAAATTTCCGTCTATTTACGAAGTGTGGCAGCACATGCCAAGCAAGAGAAAAAGGCAGACAGTTTAAGTATACATGCAATGGTACATTGTAACCGTCAAAGGGTTAACCTAATGCAAGCATATCTTTCTGGTGTTCATTGTTGTACTCAATGGTTGTCTTTATGTTCAGGTTCTAGCCATGCGCGGTTCTCTTTTATCGGATGTAGCCGGTTCGATCTGCAGCCTGAAAGGTGAATCTTCAAAAGAACATAGTACAGTAATACTTCGTTAACTCAAAGTTTTATAGACCAGGGAAAATTTCAACATAAGCAAAGTTCTACAAATACTTTCACATTGTGTCACCCACGTCACAATTTTGTTTTCAAGCAGCAGATAGCGCGCTGTCAATGATTTACTGTGCAAATAGAATTGCTTTTGTTTGGCCATGTCGTGCACCAGGTTTGTGAAAGTGCACTGAAAGCCATGTGTTGAAAGCACATGACCTTTCCCACTGCTATATACGCCAGTGCCAACAACTACCACTGAAACCGCTTTCAGCCATGGAGTACAAGGAGGGCAATCCACGGTGCAGATGAGGAACTTCATAGGAGCATGCCCTTGCCTGCCATATCAGTTGGGCCTCTATAGAAGTGGAAATAGCTGAAGAGGTTGAGGAAATAGCATCTTTTTTTTATGTGCAAAATTTTGTTCACACCATTAGTAAAATATTCTAATATTGGATTCAGTTACGCTATTTGAATTTTTTTGCACCCAAGGTATTGCTATCAGCATGGCTTTCTAATAGGATGATTTAAGGGCCATTCCCCAAGTTGTGTAATTATATCCATGAGTGCAAGAGCAGTGAGGTTTGTCACTTACTCCACACTTTGTTTGGAGCACTATGTTTAGCTTGTGTGCTTCAGTAAATCTCCATTGATGATGTGTGGCTCTATCTGTGCAGGTACTTTCTGCTGGAGTGACGCACCCGCTCTTCTATCCCCAGCACCACCCACAGAATTACGGTCACAATCAGGACCCCTTTGGAGGCGTCCAACACTACTTTTAGCACTCTGTCTGAGGAATTTTATATTGCGTCACAAACCGCCTGGCATGGCAGCCTGCATGCTACCCTTTTATGGCAGCCTGCATGCTACCCTTTTATGGCATTTTAGTCTTTTATGAAGTTATGGCATTTTAGTCTTTTATGAAGAAGCAGGATTTTATTTGTACCCATGCACCACTGCTCTTTGTTTTTACATACACGATTATAGCACTGACCATGGCAAGCTGTTAATTAAGGACAATCCTTCTTGATGGATTTTTTTGGAGCTCCTTTTTATGCATGGATACAGGACTTGTCCCATCCTATGAAACTTATTAGCATTCGTCTTGGCTTTAGATCACAGGAATGTTAATTATTTTGTAAACTCTGTTGACATTCCTTCGGGTTTATTGTTTGTGTCACCTCAATGACTAGACCTCGCCCTGTTTGCACATAGCCCATTTGCACAATAGTTTATTGGAACCCACATTAGAACTTTATTGAACATTTGTTAACAGGGAGGAAATGACGTTTTAACAAGTGGACTCGTCTTCTTCAAGGCTTTTGTGCTTTAATGAATCTGCTCTCCCATGTGGGTGACATCAGCAGAGGCACTTCCAGCCGGAGTGACACACCCGCTTTTCTATATTTTTGTCTTGCGGTCACAAGTTAGTGGCGTCTTACACTGCTATTGCAACTTTTATGAAGACAAGTCCAATTGACACCTTTTGTTGACGAATTTTTCATCCCACGCTTTCATTTTCCTCCGAGTTCTGCCCCCCCCCCCCCTCCAACCTATTTTTATTTTTTCATTACAGCATAGTGGCATCTGATGGGGAAATGGCTTTGTTAAATGTATAACTTCATTGTAAATTTATTTTACTTACCCTCTGTATGAATAGCGACATAATTGCTCATTTACTTTGTCATAATCGAAAATTTGTTGTGTTGAGGTTTGACTAACACACCAAGCCCTCAGTCCAACTGAGGCACCAGAGAAGTGCTGCTCCAGAATTTGTCAACTTTGAATTGCACCTTTTTTGCTCATGAAAGTTTGTCACTGCATGTGTCACAACTTTCTTTTGATAGCAGCACCAATGTTTTATTCTCATTAAGGATGATTTTCAGCAAAGCTCAGCCACGTAGATACAGCTGTGAGCTGTTAAGTTGTTTTAACCATGCATGGACATTTTTATACCCGGTCACACTGGCAGGTTCAGTGTCATTTTAAGCAAGTGCACTTATGCTCCCAGAATAGCACGCGACAGGGAAGTGCACTTTGGAAGGGATGGCTCAAGTAGCAAAACAGATATTTGTTATTTCAGGCAGTAATGAAGTTTTACTGCTAACGTAAACTTAAAATACAAGCCTGGCAGCTGTGGCATTGCACAGCTGGAAACTGCTCAATAATAGTAGTATACCATGCTCTGATGCACAAGAATGTTCTAAATAATGAAAACAATACTGAAAAATTCAATGAACTGTGCTTCGGATAATGATTCCCGAGCAACTTCTTTGACCAAGGCTGGGTTAAGTCAGGGACATGTCTTGAATTTCCGAAAAACCAGGCAAAGTTATGGAAACTGTTTGCGGTCTGTGTGATCATTGTGAAAATAATCACTACCATTGGTCAAAGCTTGAGAAGTTGCCATGGTCTGAGCTTGGCTTGAAAGCCTTCTGGTTAGGCTGTAAGTGCCATCAGTTGAGGCTTGTTGGGCCATGCCAAGCTTATTCATTGGCGATGCTATGGTAAGCATCCTCAGCTACACAACTATTGCTGATCATTTGCATTTTAAGGGTAGCACGGAGTAACTACAGTGAAAAGTACAATTTCAGTTTTTTGAGGTGGTGTTATTGAATTTGCGATCACTCTTAAGCATTGTGTCCATAAAAGAGTATGTAAATGAAAGGAGCACGCCGGCATGTACGGAATCAAGGAAGATGTTGCCTCCTCGTACAGCCATGCTACTGCTCTACCGATTGTTGCGACCTGACAAATTCCTTCTCTGTGCCGCCGCAAGTTCGTCAGCACTTTGAATGCAACCTTTCATTACAAGTGCCAAAAAACTTACATTGCGCCCCTAGTGTCAGAGCCCAGAGAAATACTAAAAGGCAAACGTGTGTGCCCATAGTGTAAAAAAAAGGGGGGGGGATGTCTCGCAGTACGACTTCCGTTTCTTGGACATCCTTAGGCGTTGTGTGGGCAGAGTGCACAGAATTGGAAGTGTGCTTATTCTTTTTTTTTTACTGAAACATATAGTATTTTTGAAGAGCGTAACGTAGCCGGGGACATAAATCAGAAGTAAAATAAATATTATAATCTGGGTCCAATAAGATCCAATTCAATTCGCATTCTTAGCTGCCTGGGCGTAGCCATATGGCCATTCTTGCGAACTAGCCGCAAAGAAGTGTTCATTTACCTCTGATTGGGTCAATGCAGAAATAGCCGAGTACGCGTTATGGATTGGAGCAGTGCTGAACAACACAAGTAAGGCTCAGTGCGCAGCATACCACTAGACTTTCTTGCTCATCATCACTGTTCTCTCTGGTCGCACTGTGAACTTAGCTGCTGTGAGCTTGTCGCAAAGTTCTTCCCACACATACGTCTGTTTGTTTTTTACTGCTGGACCCAACTTACCATGTTCTGTGACTGCAACGAGTGAAGTGAATGTGTACTTACCAGCTGTGCCGAGCACAAGTGCTGAAAGTGTGCCTGCTAAGCCGGTGGCCATAGTGCCTGATGGGAATGTATCTTAAAATGGTCTTCTAGTCAAGAAATGTGTCACAAAAGCAGAAATTGTTTGGTTCGTGAACACTGTAGCGACATATGCATTTTTTTTTTCACCGATCAAGGGATCATTTGCAAATGTGCAGAGCTTTCCAAGTGGATGTACCAGTCATGGCATTCACTTTAAATCATCATGGAAAACCTTGAAAAGTCAGAAAATTTAAAAATATTCAATTAGTTTCGTAAATACACTTGCTGACGAGTGCGCTTTTCTGCGAGTGTCACTACGTGTCCCTGTGTGACAGCAAACGAATGGCACTATTGGGGAAGTGCACTCCCTTAAAGTGCACTTAAGTTGCCATGTGTGACAGGGGCACTGATGCTGATGCATACGCAATTGCCACTGTGGAGCTTGCATTTCTCTAGGTGCAATGCTGTCCTCATTTGTACAAGTGTTCCTTGACCGACCAGTTTTAGTAATATGCAACTACCTCCACTGCTCCAACAAACTTTTTTTGTTGCACACCTGTTTTTCTCTGGACATTTACATCAGTTTTTTTTTTTCATGCAATCACTCCATAAGCAGACGCATCATATTGGGATTGTTAACCAAGTACCTATTCTCAGGATTTAACAGAGTTGATGAAAACTTTTTAGTTGTAGGCAGCAATTGGAAGATGCACCACGATGCTCCATTTCGGGAACAGTTGTTTAGTCTTTGTCCTGTAAATATTGTCTGTCAGGTTCTTTCCTTTTTTGTAATTATTGTTTGCACAAAGAAGTGCACAAGAGCACATATGCTTTGAATCAACCAGATTCAATTATTTGTGATTCCCGTACAGAACAAATTTCATGGCCTCAAATATATGTGCCCCTTATGGATCGTTTGGCTTCCTCAGCACATGGAGAGATAAATGCCCTCATAGTTTTCAAAACACTTATTCGTATCATTAGTTATGAGAGGCTTTAGAAAACAAGGTGGCACAGTATACCATAGCACGGTCATTATGCATTATTCTTGTATTCTAGCTTGGTGAAAGGTTCATTTTGCACTTGTCTCATTATGTGTTCTCACGCCATTTTATTTGAGTCTCAATTCTTTATACGGGCTGGAGTTTTGCAAAGAACTTTGCCTCTGTGCGCTACAATATCAAAGGTTAGTGTATGTTATCTTATTGGCCAAGACCGTTTGGGAAACTGGCAGTGGTGGCCTGTGGTGTGATCTGGTATTACAAAAGTTTTAACCTGCTATGAAGTGCAGTATGTAGTTACTATTTAGCCCTTCTGAGTTTCAATTGCAACAGTTCTATTCAGCATTAAGCTATCGTCAATTGCTCTCCCGATCGCCACTTCATAAATAAATAAAAACCTGAACGCACGGAGCTTTAGTTTTTAGATGGTGTGTAGATTTTATGACATGCATTGTGATTTACTTTTGCACTTTAGGAAATTGCAAATGTGCAGCATTTTGCTGCCCTGAAGAAATGCAAGGTTAGTGCAAAGGAGAGAGGATATATGCTGAACTGCAATGCACTGCTTGTTTGAGCAGCATGGTTTGAGCATGTGCCACCAGCAGATTAGAACTTCTTTGTTTCTTCTGTATCAGGATGAAAGTAACAATGTTCACATGTGCCACTGTAATATTTTTTTCCTGCATTTAATTAGAGCATTTATTACCTGTCTACCAACATGCTTGCAGTCGTAGATGTTGTTACCTTAATCTGTCATCATTTAGTTTAGCAACTGTGAGAGTTCACTGCCAGGCAGCGACCAATGCAGTGTTTTGGGTAAAGCCATTAAAAGAGCTTGCTAGGATATGCGCCAAAGAAACATTTGTCCTGGTGTTGGCAGCAGTGCTATTATAACTAATAATTGTATAATTATTAATTTTATTCTGTACATAAGAGGCCTTTCATTGCTATTGGTTAGAGATATATCAGGGAGCATGAAAATATATGGTAGAGTAGTTTATACAATATTTTCATGTGTCACTTACCTACAGTATGCTTTTGCTTACGAAAATAAAAGAAGTTAAAAAATGCTTAGTCCTTGCCTGTTTCAACATTCACAAGAAATTACCACCTTAGTTGAATAGAGCAACACTAAAAAGAATTCAAAAAATGCTTTGTCGTTGCCTGCTTCCACATTCACAGGAAATTACCATCTTAGTTGAATAGAGCAACACTATGAAAGCAGTTCATCATAGCAGGCTTGACATGTCCCTGGAAAGTCCTGCAATCATTCTTGAACCTCAAAAATCCTAGAATTTGCAGAGTATAATGTTTTATAAAAGGAATGTTTCAAGCCACTCTAATGATGAGAAAAAAAAAAGGAAGAGAACTAAACAAACGACGACCAAAAAGAAAAAGTCCGGAACACTAAATTACGCCATCCCCTGCTTAGGGGGATGGCGTCACACAAAATTTCGCGGTCAAGATAGCCTGTGGGGTCGATGCCCGTGAACATTCTTATATCTTTTGCAAAATACCAACAGTGAATATAGCTTGGAAGGTGTTTTAATTTAATTTTAAAGTTTGTGCAAGCTCTCGTCTCCATTGTGCCATTGACACCCTAGAAGAGGACCATTTGGGGACCCCCTATTTACCTCCCATCACCACACTGCAGTCAATCAAACGTTATGACATCATAGCTGCCATTTTTCTTTTGCCGCGTTAGTTCCCGAAGTCTATATTTCTCGGCAGCTGGTTGCGAGTGCGTGGCCGTTGCGCACGCTTAGAAAGTTTTGTATTTGGTGACATTCCAGTCCCGTTTACTATTCGAAAGTAATTCTTGATGCGGACCATGTGGAAGTGTGTCGCAGTTCTGTGTGCTGACGTGGTCATGAGCTACACACTTTAGGTGGCAACAGTTGCACCCAGTTTTTGGGGCTCTCTCAAACTGAAACTGATTGATAATGAGGACCCTGTAAGAAATTATCTGTTGCATGCTATAGCAAACGATGTGTCGTGTCATGACTAACAAGCCCACAGCAACACATTGCAGCAGAAAAACACAAGGCCGAAGTTTTTGTGTCAGTACCCCTTTAAGAGAACCATGTGTAATGCGAAGCAGCGGATGCTAACACTTGCGCTGGTGACGACGCTGGCGCTCATCGCAGCGTTGCGCAGGAGAGCAACCTGGCGAGACACAAAGCACACAGTGATGGACTGGTGTTTCGTACTAGAACATGAAAAATCGCTGCTAATAGGCAGTGAGGGACAGAAGACTCCGACTGGACACAGAGACCTACAGTCTGCTTTTAGTTAGCACGCACGTTGCGAATTTTTATAGTTCAACAACGCACAGGAGAAATCTCCAACCAGCACTACCTTGGAGGTGAAGATCCAGTGCCTATTATAGGGGGTAGCTAGTGAGCAGTTGTGCAGCATGAGTACTGGTCAGTTTTTTCAATCAAAAAACTCGCTAACAGACGCTGCCTGCGTTGGCATTGCAAGGCAACAGAGTGGAGGGGAGGCACATGCGCAGTGGGGGTGTTAACCAAGAAGGTGAAAGTAATATTTGCTGGAGAGGAGGAAGAGGCTCCCCTCAGGTGAAGCCGTGCACCGTCATGTTGCCATAGCGGTGCACTGTAGCCGCAAAGACGTTTCAAATGTTTTCCGGCATTGTGGTTGGTGGTCTGGACGTTGTAATAAACACATTGTGGTTTTCTCAAGGCAACATAAATCAAGCGAGAGGGTGCTCTGGGGTAATGTTTTTATGTGAGTAGCACATTTCAAGCTTGATGAAAACTTATCCATATACCGGAGCACTTGTTGACATCCCAAACCCTGTCTTCACATATCTCAAGGCAGTTCTTTTTTTTTCCTAACAGGTTACTTGAGGACCCAAATTTCAAAACACGTCGGGGTGTGCTGTTGAACATTTGTGTCCTTGAGATGACTGGAAGCCCAAAGACGGCGATCACCTATGTTAGAGGCACTTCTGGTCGAATTGTTACAAGTGGACTGGGCTGCAACCCACAAGTTGTCACCTGGAGATAGTTATAGCGCGGGAACAGAATGACACAGAGACACGAAGGATGCGAGCGGACACATGTCCCTCTTGTCTCTGTGTCGTCGTTCTGTTCTCCCGCTATAACTATCGTCATGTCATACCAACCAGCCCAAGCCGCCACACTTCTATGTCCACCTGGGCTTGACACATTTCCAGAACACCTGCTAAGTCCAGTCATACACATCCTTGTGCTTGTTGATACCACTGGAGCGGTGCATGAACAGGGAAAAAACACACCGTGAACTATTCGTTGAGAATAAATAGGCGATCGACTCATAATATTTTGTTTTTAGTTTCTTATTGTGTTAGTTAAAAGGTTACCTTGCTACTACAAAGGTAGTTAACATCGTTTGGGCAATACACAGAGACCTGCCTTTTCTTGCATTCATGCCTTTTATTCAGTTTTTTGTAGTACAGCTAGTAAAACCAGTATGTCTGAACTGTGCAATACTTGTTCTTGCTGCAAAGAAAGCGGCCATGAGCGAGGCCCAGTGGGTAATTGCTGTATTCACTCCTGTTGTTATATGTATTCAACCTGAAGAAGTTGTTGAAAATGTGACACTGCAGTTGCATCACACTGCCGCTCTTACAAAAAAAAAAAAGCTTCACGTTTTTTAAGGAGAGATAAAACAGCTCCAGAACAAAATTCTACTGCAAAGAAATTGTAGAGTGACGCAAAAGAGCAGCACTTGATCCTCAAGCTATAATAAAGGAGATATAATAAAGAATCAAAAGCTCATGTCTGAGGAGGGGAGGAGGGGGGTATTCACTGCAACATCCCCTCATACATACAGAAACTCCTTCACTGGGCACAAAAACGCCAGAAACACACGTACCCATCCAAGCTTCGGGCGTTTGCATTAACGGTGCTCTTCCCCTCTTCGTCAGCTTATATGAGTATGTACACTCGAAGTTAAAATATCGAGCTCTGTCGGCACTGATATCCGAAAAATTTCATTCGAGCCGCCACCCGCCGCACAGAGCAACAAAGGATACGAAAACCCTAATCAACCGTAACTGGCAGCCCCCAGAAACGCTCACCGGTTTTATACGTTCAGGGAACCAGCAAGATGTTGGCGCAGATCTTCAAGAATGAAGGGGTTCACATCACGCACGTGCCTTCGTGTACGCTGGGCCGTCTCCTCCCTCGCCCGAAAAACCGACCAACAATGGGCAGGACCCCCAGTGTCGTTTACGAAATTCCGTGCACCGAGTGCATTTGAGTGCCCCTCTTCGCATATCGGCAAGATGAAAAACCTACCGGAACGACTGAAGCAACACGCCAACGCTGTGCGGAAGTTTTACAAAGAGTGCAGCGCAGTCTCCAAACATGCTGAGACGTTGGATCACGGGATAAATTTAAAAGCAACGGCCATCTTTGAAAGCGAGCCGAACTGGAGGAGAAGGTTATTACTCGAGTGGTGGCACATACAGAAGACAGCCCATAACATCAACCGCTCTCTCGGAACCCTTCCCCCCAAGTATACACATGGACTACGTTCTACGGCAAAACGAGAGAGAGAGAGGGGGGTCATTATCCACCCCGCGAGTGCTTTGAAGACGCTGCTGCTACGTAGTCTCCACAGGAAGGAACCAAGTCGGTTTCAAAACGTAGGGTCTCTTCGAAACTTTTGGTTGGAGTCTAAATCGTCTCCCAGTTTCATACCCAACCAGACAGGCTTCTGTCAAATGTTTACATTCAAGGGTAGAGGCTTGCACTTCGGTCGTTGTCGTCCTTGGCTCGCAGGGGGTTCCAGCGTCTTTGCTGTTTCGTCGCTGGTGCTAAAGAGTGTCCAGCCGCTGGCACAGTTGTTTTCTCCACCATTCGGTTTCCTTCTCTCTGATGAGAGTACGTTTACTCGCTGTGGGAGGAGAAACCCGTTCTTTGAGCCTGGAAAGGAGAATGGCGCATGCCGGCCGCGGCGTGACACCACCCTTCGCAAGAGGGACTCGTTTCTTGAAGAGACAGACAAGTCCTCGCAACTAGGCTGCCGTGAAAGGGAAAGGGTGGCTCGGAGCACGTGCTTCCCTACAACGCGCAGTTTGGAAAGCAGTCGTCACGCAGGTCGTCAGTTTGAATTCCCATATTCAAATGTTTTACTTTCCCCCCCTTTTTTTTCAAGGTAGTGCTGCAATAAAATCATGTGGCTGTTTGCGACACGAAATCCACAGCCCTACCATGTGGATTTCGTGGTGCAGTGTCGGTGTCCGAAATGATAATCATGTTCATTCATTGGGGATATAACTATCAATTATAACTATCAAGTCCAACAAGGAATCAATTCCTTTCCCAATGATTTCCGGTTGATAATGCACTAGGCGAGCAGATTCCGTTGTATGCGTGCAAATTAACTTTGTTATCTCATTGAACAACCATCCTCGGCGGGGTTTCCGTTTTTTTGCATTGATACCACAACTCCAACCAATAATTTTTCAACATAATGTGATGTTCACAAATCACATTCCGTTTCACATATTTATTTTTCGTGTCCCTGCATAAAGGAGACGTATGGGCTGATGCCAGATGTTGTGCAAGTCGACATAGAATGTCTTGCAACCCTGACGGCTGTGTAGTTGGGCAGTATGTTTCAGTAAGTCCCAAAACCAATATACATATGACTGCAATACATGTAGCTGCGACTTTGGGCTTACTTTGCCTGAAATAACACACACGGACTTATTCGTATGATCGAATCAGCTTCTTCAAACAGGGGGATATGCACATCGCTTTCGTTCTTTATTTTTTATTCAATGATTACCCCGCTTAGCCCAAAGGCGCTGCAGCAGGGGGGTTACAATGTCAAGAAAAACACATCTTCATTAATACAGCACACTTGTTCATTTGATAAGTGATTCCATTCTCTAATGGAACGAACAAAAAACGAATTAGCATACAAATTAGATCTGGTACGGTACTCTAAAATCTTGAAACAATGATCATTTCGTGAAGAGATATAATGTGAAGGTACTTTTCTTTTCGAATGCCGGTTTTACCATGAAATATTTGGTACAGGAGCTTTAGCCGCAGTTT